TCGTGACTAATTAATGTGTGCTACAGGCTATAAATATTTGTTAAAAGTAATTATTAAATTATTACTATTTGTTACATAAACTAATATTAAATTCTAAATATTATCTTAAGGGTTATTATAAATTATTGCAGGTGTTTTTAATATTATTTTATCATTATATTTTCATTCTGTAACAATGTGTCTTGTTAAAAAAATTAATATTAGAGTCTTCAACACATAGAATTTTGACTAATGAGAACTCTATATTTTGACAGAAAATAGATGAACATCTCGATCTCATAGCTCTTATAATTCCTACTGGTATATTTTTTAAGTGTTCAATTATGTCATATGGAATTTATATTTCTAAGAATAAATCAGTTAGTATATTACATACCAATATCTTGAGTTATTTAAAAAACTATAGAAATACTTGTGTAGTTGATATTGAACAAAGAGAATATAATCTTCATGTAGTTAATATTGAATGTAGAAAATATGTGTATATGAAACCTGAAAAAAAATTAATGATTATTTCATTAAAAGTTCTAGAGGGGTACCAATCCATATCCTTGTAGAATCTAAAATCTAATGATTAGTTTTTTTTTATTTCTATTAAGCACTTTATTTTTTCTAAAAGATACATAACTGCTGATATGTATTTTATATTTTTCATAAGTAAAATACTCAAATGCTCAAATTTTGATTATACTAATTCTGTCAAAACTTTATAATGTTGTCTTAAATATACTGAAAATAAAAATTACTTATTTTTGTTTAACCAAAAAAATAAATATAGCTAATGGATAGGTTGATTTGCTTTCTTATATTAAGTAAATATAATTCATTAAATGAAAATTATTATGTGATATCGCTTTATATAATTTAATAATTATTTTTTCTTTTTTATTCTATAACATCGTTTTGAACGTATAGTAGCCTTACACATGTGTTTATCATCAGATTCTGAACTAGATGTGGAAGAATCACTTGAATAAGAAGTATCAGAATCAGAGTTAGAAGAAGTGGAGTTGTAAAATTCATCAACATCATTTTAAGCATGCACTATACTTTCTCTTCTTTCTTGGCATTAAGATCTTTGATACACAATGTCATTCTTACTCAAACATCCTCTGCGTCAGTCACAATTTCAAGTATATATGTTTGAAGCTCATCATAATCATATTTTTGACTATAAAACTAATTATTGCCAAGCAATATATAATTAGATAATTTAGGACTATATTTTTTTACGAGTACTTTGGTTAGAATTGTGATAGATTTTTTGTTATTAAGATGAATATTATTTTTTATGTTATAGGTGAATGTAAGTAGAATTAAAACCCATCCAATCAGGTGTATATATAGTTATCTCTCTGAAGAATTTGCTATCTTTTTCCTTAAAGGTTTGCTTTCTGTTAATTCTGGAATCATACAAATATTCTTATTTTTAATGATCTTAATGATGATTATTATGATGATAATAATGAATTAACAAATAATATTTCTAAAAATATTCAAACACTTTACCTTCTTAGTACAATGGATGTAAAAGAATTTCTTTTTGTATTAGAAGAAAACATTGTTTATGAACTTTTGAAAGATGATAAAATTATTACAGAACTTGTTGACATTTTTAAAAATTCAAAAGAAAATATTAAAAATATTGAAAAATCAGATGATAGTATTGAACCAGTTATTATTGATATTAATGTAGTATTAACAAGTTTAGAAAATGTACAAATGTTTTTATTTCAGTAGGAAAATTCAGAAAAATATATTAAATTAGCAAATACAATTGAAAAATTTATAAAAATTAAAAAATTTAATATGACACGACAATCTAGTTTAGATGATTTTTTTTTTAATCAATAGTTACTTTAATTATATAATATAATTAATAAAATAAATAATAATATCACATTAAAATATTTTTTAATAATATTTTTTATAAATGCACCCCCTTTATAAATGCACCCTAATGCTCATTCCCCAAGGGGTGCATTTATAGAGGGTTCATTGTATATAACATAATATTTAAATGATTTCAAAAATTTATTTAAGTTATTTTATTACATGTGATTTTATTGATTTTATTTCACTATAATAATTATAATAAATATATTTTTGGCAAGAAGAGATAACTGTTTAATAGATATGATTCGATATTGTATTATTTTATACCAAGTTATTTAAGAATATGGGTTTAATAAGAAAATAATATTGATATTTGATTTTTTTCGTTGATCGTAAGTCACGTGATTCACAAATACGTTACAAATTTTTATTGGTTAAAAATGATCAATGATCACATGAGCCCAGTCGTTTGTCACATTACTAATTAACCTGTGCGTAGGGTAATAGATTCTTATCCTATGCCGACAGGGGGGTTAGAGTTTGGGTTATCAGGGGTAGTGTATTTATCACCGCGTGTCACACCTTTCGAATATCGAATTTTATTAAATATCTCAGGGACTTAGAATTTTTTTGCATGCGGAAACCATATTTGTCACCCAAAATTTGTCACTTAACATTTGTCACATGACACTTACACGTGAAATTAATCGGATCACCTGCAAAGTTATGAACCAATGAAATTCGAAAGGTAAAGGTGCACAGGATAAAAACCTGTATGGGGTGCACAGGTTAAGGATCCTCAATTTTTATTGATTAAAATGACCATTACTCACGTGATGTTTGTTTATTTGTATTCGAATACAAATAAATTACTGTATATTAACTGATTTTTTTTTACATGATCGCATTAATTTGCAAACCGCGATAATAAATTTAAACAAACAAATATATTACTTTTTTTTTCTATCCACTAGTTAATAACAAGTGATAATGTAAGATTATTATAGGATCTAATTGCAAAATATTTGATGTTATCTTTAACAAACTTTATTAACTAAGATAAAGATATTTTATTGCAGCAAATTAGATATATTATGATAAAAAAATCAAATTAGAGGCATCTTTATTGTAAATATTATAAACATTTATTATATATATATAGATTACAGTAAAATAATGGGAAATAATTTTGCTAGCTAGATTGAAAAGAAAATTAATAATTAATACAAATTCATAGAAAATAAAAAGTCATAAATTTCAAAAAATTCAGGAAATTTGTTAAATGAAATTTTTTTATCTATTTTTTTCTATTCTCGAAAATTAATCCAGTAACTGGTGGTTCAGAAAAAGGTCCATAATGTACCTTTTTTTCAATCTTTCCACTTGGTGTCTTAATGTGATAATTTAAAATTAATTTATGCAAACCTATTTTAATTTCATGTACAGCAAAAAATCTGTTTAAAAAAAATTAATTTAGTTTTTATTAATAAAAAATTATGAAATTTATTATAAAATGTTAATTAACTAGATAATTTTAAATACCAACCTTCCAGGGCAAGCATGTTTTCCTGCACCAAACATAAAATAATCTTTATCAGTTTTTGATGCAGGAATATTATTTTCCAAACCATGATAAGGAAGAAATGACCTTGGTTCTGGTCCATATGCTGTGGTATTATAATGAATATCCATTAAATAAGTTTGAACTGTACGACCTGTCAGATCAGATATTTATTTATTTTTTTAAAAAGATTAATATTTCAATATTATTAAATGAAAAGAGTTATTAAAATAAATAATAAAGAAAATTTCTAAAATGGAATGGTACCTTTTGGAATTGTCATGCCATTTTTAAATGTATATGATTCCAAGCATCTATGGGGAGTGGAAGCTGTTTTTTTAAAAAATATTCGCATTATTATTTTTTAGTCTTATATGTATATATATATAAATATAAAATTTACATACCCACAGCATCAAAAGTCCTTAAAGATTCTCTCAGAAAACTATCTAATTTCACCATTTTGTTAATATGTTGAGGTGATAATTCTCCATTACATTCTTTATCAATTTTCACTTGTTCTTCATAGAGATCATCCCATAATTCTGGTCTTCCTGCAAAATCTATTATATAACATAAAAATAATATTAATTATAAAAAAGAGAGAATTATACAAAAATGATTATAATTTAATGAATATAAGATATCTTTTCTTTTTTTACCATAAAGAGCGGATGTAATATGGCGAGAAGTAGTGTGAATAGAGGCGACAACAATAGAAAATATAAATTCACTGATTTTATTCAAGTAATCATCAGTAATAACTTTTGTTTCGTATTCAGGATTATTCAAAAAATATTCGACTACATCCAACTATTGAATAGAATTAATTTTTTTTTAATGGTGTTGAAATTATGCTAGTTAATGTTAAATTTTTTTTAATACTTACAGGTGGTTCATATTTATCACCAAGGATTTTTTTATCTTTCAATCTTTTCTCTAATACAGGTTTCAAATGTTTCTTTAAAGTAATCAAATGTTTCAAAATTGGATTAAACCCAAATCTAAGTGGTAACGTGATAACTTGGGTATGTACTTTTGGATGAATGAATGAAAGAATGGGAGGTATTGCAAGAATTGATGCAAAATCTTTGGTAAAATCAGCAAAAGCTTTGACCACATCTTCATTTTTTGATATTTCCTTTAATATAATTTAAAGATAAGATATTAAAATATTATTCCATATTTATAATTTACAATTTATTTACCTGTCCAACCAAAACATCAGCTACTGGGCGAGCGACCATTCTTGAGAAATTATATTTCGCTGTGTTAATTAATTTAGGTTCTAAATAAATAAAATAATAATTAATATTATTATTTCAAGAAAATAAACCAAAAAGAACAAAAGTGACTTACGAGAACAATCTCCAATTTCTCTATTAATATAAATCATAATTTGTTTTTGCATTCTTCCAGTGTATGAAGGTAATTTTGAAGTAATTCCTTCACGTATCGTTTTGACTACTTGTTCCAACGTTCCAGGATCCAAAACACTTTTTAAAACACGATACAAAGGAAACATCTAAGAACCATGTACAATATATAAATATAATAAGAATAACATCTAAAATAAATACAGTGTTTTGATATTTGAAATAATTGATTGATTAGTTGTAAAGTTATTTACATCTCGCGTAGCAACGGTCAAACTAAAAATATGGGATTGCTTATAAACTTCATGAGCAATTTCGTTTCCGGCTATTGTAAACACCTGACCAAATACATATATATTGAAAGGATCACCGTACTATATGCATTTTTTTTTTGTTAATTTTTTTTTTTCGTTTCTTTAATCGCATGATTATTAGAAATGAATTATTATTATTTACTTTTTGTCTACATTCGGCCAAAAAATTATCGGCATTTATTGCATAATCTAACGTATGGCCAAATATTGGAATTTTATAAGGAACCATTGGAGGTTCATTCTGAAAAAAGAAGAATGAATTAAAAAACTAAATATTATTTGATAAAAAAAAATAAAAATTACTTACTTTACTTAATCTTGGCTTCTTAATCCAATAAATAACATAGATAGCTATGAATACCCACACAAAGGTTGGAATTGTTTCAAAAGAGAAATACATTTTAAAAAATACTACGAAAATTCTAATTTTTCTCTCATAAAAATAATTTTCTTAAATGAAGATCATTTATTTATTAAATGCTTTTATCCACAACAAGGCTGGAAAGAGAAATTCATTTTAAAAAAAATACTACGAAAATTCCAATTTTTGCTCATACAAATAATTTTCTTGAGAACAGATCATTAATTATTAAATGCCTTTTTTAGGTATTATGTTGTATATAAATTCAAAAAAGGAACTTTTTTTGTTAATCACATTTCAAAATTAAATTGCCTTGTCAGATTCAATTTGTAGTAAAACTACTTTGGTTAATTTATTATTTATTAATAAAATAATAAAATGATACTAAGTTGTCACATATTAATAAATAATAAAAACGACACCAAGTAACCTTGAAGTCTGAAACATAGTACATCTATTGTAAAAGTTTGGCTTAACTAAGTTTTGTATGATACAATGTTATTGTCCGGACTCCAGTTTTCTGGTATAATTTAAATATCACAATATTATAACCTGTCGTTTTTAAAATAATTTAATAATAATTCAATTAAATTATTACTCAATTGTATTGAAAAAATCAAGTTAATTAACTAATTCAATAAACTATTTAACGTTCATTCCAATTTCGTGAAGTAAAAATGGTTCGTTCTAGAGACTTCTATCTGGTTCCAAGTTGAAGGTCTTAGTCTTATCTGGAAAGTTGTTTCGTAGTTGGTACGGATTCAAATTTATAATTCATGTAATGTAAAAATATTTCAAATAAAAAAGTTGAGATGTAGAATGTATTTATACTCAAGTCATTACTTATTACAGACATAGGATAGTTAAATGCCTTGTTTTAAAGACACAATGATATCTTGAAATTTGTTTTATAAATAAATTTATGCGAGTATATAAAAAATGATTATATTATTCCAATACAATAATTATTATCCAAATCCATTGTTTTCAAGAGAATTAATATCTGAAAATAATTAATATATATTTCCAAATAAATTAATAAATTTATATCAATTTATAATATAAAGATATATATTTCAGACTTGCTTAAGCAATAAGAAAATATTATCATATATAGTGGGAATAAAGATTATTCGAAGTTTACGAAACCATGTCCCGATACGCCATATGAGAATGTGTAATAAATTAAATTGATAACGACAAAAAATGCTCCAAAGTTAATTAGAAGAATATTTACTTTTCTAAGATTTGTATTTAAATACTTTGAAACTTTTTCAGCAAATCAAATATCATAATACTCAGTTACTACAAGCAATTTATAAAAGTCGATTTATCAATTTTCAAAGCCTGTAAATGAATCAAATTTTGAAAAGAACTCATAATAAACATATAGATGCTAGAAAGTATTAATTACATATAGCCAGACCCTTTTATAGCCACCCCTCTATAAGATAATATAGAAATTCTCTTTATAAGCACACCTATTTTAAAACCAATTGCTATGAATGCATAAAAAAACCTCTATATATGCATATTTTTTAAAAAAGTTATTATGATTTCGATGGTGTGGTGTGATTATAAAGAGGTCTGACTATATTCTATTTATTCATTTTTTGTAATTAATTATGTTGATTTTATTTATTTTTTATTTATTTTTTATTTAGATGACGATGATGGTGAATTATAATATTAAGAGTACTTGAAATTATCTTTTATAAATATTTTCATATTTTACATTCTACCACTTTATACATCTAAATTAATCTGTGGTCAAAAGTTTATTGTAATTTTTATTTTACAGGGTACTTGGAGATTTTTTTATTATAATATTTAAAAGTAATAATTTAATATATATATTACTTTTCTTCCTCAACCATTAGTTTACAAAGTAATTGATTATTCGTTAATAACAAGTAATAAATACAAGATTATTATAGAATCTAATTGCAAAATATTTAATGTTATCTTTAACCAACTTTATTAACTAAGATAAAGATATTCAATTGCAGCAAATTAGATATATCGTGATAAAAAAAAATCAAATTAGAGGCATCTTTATTGTAAATATTATAAACAGTTATTATATATATAGATTACAGTAAAATAATGAAAATAATAGGAAATAAATTTTGCTAGCTAGATTTAAAGAAAATTAATAATTAACACAAATTCATAGAAAATAAAAATTCATAAATTTCTAAAGATTCAGGAAATTTGTTAAATGAAATTTTTTTATCTATTTTTTTCTATTCTCGAAAATTAATCCAGTAGCTGGTGGCTCAGTCAAAGGTCCAAAACGTATCTTTTTTTCAATCTTTCCACTTGGTGTCTTAATGTGATAATTTAAAATTAATTTATGCAAACTAATTTTAATTTCATTTACAGCAAAAAATCTGTTTAAAAAAAATAAATTAATTAATAAATATTTATAAAATATTAATTAACCAAATAATTTTAAAATACTAACCTTCCAGGGCAAGCATGTTTTCCTGAACCAAATATAAAATAATTTTTATCAGTTTTTGATGCAGGAATATTATTTTCCAAACCATGATAAGGAAGGAATGACCTTGGTTCTGGTCCATATGCTGTGGTATTATAATGAATATCCGATAAATAAGTTAGAACCATACGACCTGTCAGATCAGATATTTATTTTAAAAAAAAAAATATTAATATTTTCAATATTATTAAATAGAAAAAATTATTAAAATAAATAATAAAGAAAATTTCTAAAATGGAATGGTACCTTTTGGAACTGTCATGCCATTTTTAAATGTATATGATTCCAAACATTTCTGGGGAATGGCAGCTATTTTTAAAAAAGATATTCTCATTGTTATTCTTGTTTTTATATATATATATATATAAATATAAAATTTACATACCCACAGCATCAAAAGTCCTTAATGATTCTCTCAGAAAACTATCTAATTTCACCATTTTGTTAATATGTTGAGGTGATAATTCTCCATTACATTCTTTATCAATTTTCACTTGTTCTTCATAAAGATCATCCCATAATTCTGGTCTTCCTGCAAAATCTATTATAAAACATAAAAATAATATTAATTTTAAAATGAGAGAGAATTATTCAAAAACGATTATCATTTAATGAATATAAGATATCTTTTCTTTTTTTACCATAAAGAGCAGAAGTAAGCTGACGAGCAGTAGTGTGAATAGAGGCAACAACGGTAACAAATAAAAAATCACAGATTTTATTTAAATAATCATCAGTAATAACTTTTGTTTCGTGATCATTCATAAAATATTCAATTATATCCAGCTGTAGTTATTAAAATAGAATTAATTTTTCGTTAATGGTGTTGAAGTTTTGTTAGAATTTTTTTTAAATACTTACAGTTGGTTCATATTTATCACCAAGAATTTTTTTATCTTCCAATCTTTTCTCTAATAAAGGTTTCAAATAGTTCTTTAAAGTAATCATATGTTTCCCAATTGGATTAAACCCAAATCTAAGTGGTAAAGTGATAACTTGAGTATGGACTTTTGGATGAATGAATGAAAGAATGGGAGGTATTGCAAGAATTGATGCAAAATCTTTGGTAAAATCAGCAAAAGCTTTGACCACATCTTCATTTTTTGATAGTTCCTTTAATACAATTTAAAGATATTAAAAATATTATTCCATATTTATATTATTTTTTTTAAAAAAAAGACTATTGAGCTCGTCTTTGTTAGCATATTGTAAAATATCGTACAAGACAATTAGATTACATCAGATTTTCATATTTATAATTTACAATTATCTTAATCTTACCTGTCCAACCAAAACATCAGCTACTGGACGAGCGATCATGCTTGAGAAATTATCAGCCGCCGTGTTAATTAATTTAGGTTCTAAACAAATAAAATAATAATAATAATACTGATAATAATTATTGTTACTATTATTTAAAAAAAATAAACCAAAGAGACTTACTAGAACAATCTCCAATTTCTTTATTAATATAAATCACAAGTTGTTTTTGCATTCTTCCAGTGTATAAAGGTAATTTTGCAGTAATTCCTTCACGTATTGTTTTGATTACTTGCTCCATCGTTTCAGGATCATCAAGACTTTTTAAAACACGATACAAAGGAAATGTCTATGTTGACCGTGTATAATATATAAATACAATAGAATAAGTATAATATCTAAAATAAACACAGTATTTGATATTTGAAATAATTGATTGATTAGTTGTAAATTTATTTACATCTCGCGTAGCGCTGGACAAACTAAAAATATCGGCGTGATAAGTTTCATGAGCAATTTCGTTCCCGACTATAGTAAACACCTGACCAAATACATATATATTGAAAGGATCACCGTACTATGGATGCAATTTTTTGTTTTATTAATTTAATCATTTGTGATTATTAGGAATGAATTATTATTATGAATTACTTGTTGTCTACATTCGGCCAAAAAATTTTCGGCATTAAGTAAATAATCTAACGTATGGCCAATTATTGGAATTTTATAACGAACCATAGGAGGTTCATTCTGAAGAAAAAAAAAGAATGAATTAAAAAAATATTATATGAAAAAAAAAACTAAAAAAAATTTCTTACTTTATTTAATCTTGGCTTCTTAATCCAATAAATAACATAAGTAGCTATGAATACCCACACAAAGGCTGGGATTGTTTCAAAAGAGAAATACATTTTAAAAAATACTACGAAAATTCTAATTTTTCGCTCATACAAATAATTTTCTTAAATGCAGATCATTTATTTATTAAATGCCTTATTTCAAAAGAGAAACACATTATAAAAATTTTCTATGAAATTTTATCAAATGATCCATTCACGATGTCAGATCATTTATTTACTAAATGCCTTTATACAATCCAATGACTGGAATTGTTTTAAAAGAGAATTTTTCGCTCATACAAATAATTTTCATAAATGCAGATCATTTATTTAGACTTTGGATTTCCATGTGAATTGACATGCGTAAATTACACAAAAAAAAAGAAATTATTTTTAGATGATACCTTTTTGTTTATTACATTTGTCCAAAATGTCAAGTCCGATCTTTGGTAATTAGTCTTATCAATGATATCATATCAATTATAACTTTACTTAGATCTACTTTTGAGCACGGATAAAAGTCCAAATATTAAAAATAGAGTTTGGAATAAAAAATCATCAAAGTTGTTACATATCAACACTTATTTTTTACTAATAAAACGATAAAAAAAAGTACTGACACTAATTTTTAAAATATAGCGCATTACCTATAAAGGCTTCAGATCTATTTTAAAAACAGTTAAATTTCATAAAGTGCATCCAGTCTATAGCAAAATTTTTTATTTTTTTAAATTAACTAATAAATATTTAAAAAATGTTATTTTCGGGTTCCAGACATTGAATTAGCTTATTTGATATTTTTCCCGATTTTTTGAACGGAGCGTACACGTGATTATTAGCCAATAATATTTTGTATATAAGATTATATAGCATCAGGAAATTTTGTGTAAATTACTTTTTTTTTGACTTTGTTCACAACTTATGTGATTTTCTACTTATAAAAATTAAACTAAACTTACTTCATTTATATTTAATAATGATTCACCTGAAAGTGTTTCATATAAATCTTCATTAATTTTTATTTTTTTATTTATAATAAATTTTGTAAACAAAGAAATTAATTATTATTTTTTATTATTGATTAACCAATCAAATTGCTGAAGTAACTTGGAGCAACCCAGAGTAACCCAGAGTAACCCAGAGTAACCTGGAACAACTGAAGCAAAATTATATAATAACCCAGGTTATAATAAAATATTTTATTTCAGGTTAGTACAAAAAACTAAAAATCTTAACCCACTCTATGACAGAGTAATATGTAATCCAGGTTGATGTCAGAACATTATGTTCTATTTGATAACCTTATTGATAATAATCTATATTATTAATTTACATAATACATACTACAATAAATAATAAACAAATAATACTGATAATAAATATCTAATTAATAATAGTATAAATATTAATAATAAATAATAATAAATATAATATCACTAGTTGAATATAAAAGAATTGCTATATCAAATGGTGATTCCTATATTATAGATTAGTCAAAAATTGAAAAAAATCATCTGTCCTATTGCATTCTATATTACAAATTAGTTAAAATCAAAATTTTTTTTTTGATATAGCAATTCTTTTATATTTAACTTGTAAAGATAAGGTTTTGTAAAATTAGATTTTTATTAATATTTGAATTTATTCAATATTCATTCTTCTCAAATTCAATTTAGCACTGATCAAAAACTTAAAAATTCTATACACTGTTATCCATGTAAACCTTCTACAATTTACAAAGACAACGGGATAAAATAATACTAAAACTAATAATAAAACTAAGTATAACTATA